GTGCCAGTTAAGCGCTCTGGGTGGCTGAGTCCTCAGGCTGCGCTGGGGACATGCGTGGCCAGCCAAGGTCAAGGAGTCAGAGGGATCCCCTGATCCTTCTGGGAGACTGAGTGTCTTAGAGTCCTAAGAGCGGAGTGCCCCACAGCCAAGTTGGCAGGAGAGGGCCAGCACCAGGTGGGGTCCCCTGGCCTCTGCCTGCCAGCCCAACAGTGCGGCGAACCCTCCTTCTGGCACCCTCACAGGATAGTCGTGATGCCCATCGCCCGGGAGTTCTCTCCGGACCTGGTCCTGGTGTCAGCTGGGTTTGATGCTGCCGAGGGTCACCCAGCCCCACTGGGGGGCTACCATGTTTCCGCCAAATGTAAGGAGGGCCCAGCCCAGGGGAACGAGGGCTAGGCTGGGAGGGGAAGGCGGCTGTGTCCAGCCAGGACCATGAGTATAAGGCCTGGGGCCTGGCAGCTGGCCCTGGTGTTCTCTGGGCTCCCCTGGCCTAGCACAGCCCAGGTCCTTCCTCAGGACCCGCTCCGCTCACCATGGAAGGCCTGACTGAGTCACACCCTGGGACACGAGGCTCGGCCACAGACCCCCACCCTAACTGTCATTCCCAAGCTGGGCTGGCAGCGTCTCCTGAGGGAGGATGGGGAGGAGCAGTGTTCTCAGAGCAGAGGGAGCCCACTCAGCCTACTGGGCCACAGGGCCTGCAGGACAGAAAGAGACGGTGTGGCTCAGTGCAAAAGATCCAGCTGGAGTCTGAGTCCATTCAAGTCCTAGCCATGCCGCTTCCGAGCTGTGCACCCTTGCTCACGTCCTGTAAGCTCTCTGAGCCCGAGTGAGGCACACTGGCAGGTCTTACATGGGACTCCATGTGGAAGCACTTGGGAAAGTAGAGAGTTTTGCATCACTATTTACAGGGGAAGAACAAGCAGTGATGTAACAGGCAGAGAGGGTCCACCTCTCCTCTACCCCCACTCCCTCCCATTCTTCCCCCAACAACCTAGGTTTTGGGTACATGACGCAGCAGCTGATGAGCTTGGCGGGAGGTGCAGTGGTGCTGGCCTTGGAGGGCGGCCATGACCTCACAGCCATCTGTGACGCCTCCGAGGCCTGTGTGGCTGCTCTTCTGGGCAACAAGGTGAGCTGCTTGCCCCATGCAAGCCCCTGCGGTACAGGAGCCCACCTCTCAGGACTACCCCAAAGAGCAGACAAATGGGGTGCTTCCCTGAGGGCTCACAGATAGGGCAGGGGTGGCCAGGCCTAGAACGAGGGGACAGAGTGGATGCTTCCTGCCTGGGTAAGGTCTGGAGCCAGCGCGGCCTGTCCTAGGGAGACCCAGATGCACATGCCGATCTGTGCGTGGAAAACCAGGCCCTTGGGGTGGCAGAGAGCTAGACCATGGGTCCCCGAGACCGGTGGCTGATGTATTGTTTTCTTCTGTAGGTGGATCCCCTCTCAGAAGAAGGCTGGAAACAGAAGCCCAACCTCAATGCCATCCGCTCTCTGGAAGCTGTGATCAGGGTGCACAGTGAGTGTGGAGAGGACACCCGCTGACCCCCGACTTGGGAGAGCCTTGGGGGTGCTGTCCCCAGTGACCGGTACCTCAGACCTTCCCCTGCCAGCCAGGCCGAGAACCCTGGGGCTGGTCAGGAGCAGGCTTCCTAAAAGTTACCTCAGCCAGAATGGGGGGGACCCTCCCCAGGAGTGGTACCCTCGGAGCCCTCCAGGAGGCTCCAGCAGGGACCACCAGGCAGTGGCCTCCTTACGGCAGGACTGACCTCCTGTCTCCAGCCACAGTCCTAGGCCAGGGCCAGGCGAACGGCTACACTCAGGCCTTGCTTGCTAAAAGTGCATGTCTACCTGCTTTGGGGCTGGGTCTTAGAATAATCCCACGTTTGGAAAGCACTTAAAATTTTCATCTTCAACCCAACATCTATGGAGCACTTTGTGTGAAGACCCACGATCTATGCAACGGATACAAAAGTGCATAAATTAGATTTCCTCACATCTGGGGCTCAGTAGGGGAGCATAGGTAACATAGAGACGCTGCTGGAACTTTGAACGCAGCCCCCACAATGGGCCAGGCTCTGGGCGTGTTCCCTGGGTTTCTTGCAATAGGCACAGTGGGCACATCCACAGGGGAGCCCAGGGTGGTGAGTGGTTTGCCGATGGCCATGCAGAGCAGCTATGATGACGGTCAGCTCGCCCAGAGCTGTGTCCTTCCCTCCCATCTGCCTCGGTCCTGTGTCCTGGGCTGATATGAGTGGAACCCTGTGCTCCAGGAGACCAGGGCTCAGGATCTGTCAGGTCTCTCTGATACCGTCCCTGACTGTGTAAAAGTGGGCCCCACTGGTGCTCTTAGGAACCCCGCACCTAAGGGTGGGTCAGAGGCGACCTCTCAGAGGTGACCTCTCAGAGGCGACCTGCCTAGTGGGTGCTCAAGCGGTTCTGCCACCCCACCCTGCCCTTCAGAACGGCTTGAGCACCCACTAGGCAGGTGTGGCAGGCTGGAGGACCTGTTTTCCCCGGCCTTTCTGACTTGGCTTCTTGTCCCAGGTAAATACTGGGGCTGCATGCAGCGTCTGGCCACCTGTCCAGAGTCCTGGGTGCCCAGGGTGCCGGGAGCCGATGCAGAAGAAGTGGAGGCAGTGACCGCACTGGCGTCCCTCTCCGTGGGCATCCTGGCTGAAAAGAGGTAATGCCAGACCCCTGGCCGGCAGCCTCTCCACCCTTAGGCCCTCCCAACGTGAGGATCCCAGATTCCGGCACAGCCACCCCAGCATTCTTAGTCTTTCTGGGGAGGTGGGCTGAGGCCCTTTCTGCAGCCCCTGGCCCTCCAGCAACTCCATTCCCGTCCTCCCCCAGGCCCGCAGAGCAGCTGGTGGAGGAGGAGGAACCTATGAATCTCTAAGGCTTTGGAACGGTTCTGCCAGCCCACCCTGCCCTTCAGACCTGGCTCTTCTCACCTCTGGCAACAGTACCTGTTCCTGGGGTCTTCCGAGGTCCTCTGGGCAGGTAGTTGTGGCAGAGAACAGCCCCTTGATAGTCACCCCAAGGAGCCTGAGAAGACCCCTGGATCTAAGATAGGGACCAAAGAGGACCCTGAGGTTGCAGGCAGGGCCACTGGCCAGGCCCCAGTAGGGCTGTCCCAAGACCAGAGACTGTCCCTGTGGGGTCCGGGCCCCTGCTGGGCCCCATTCCTCAGGACTGTATGGAGGAGGACTGGCTCCGTCGGGCCCACCTATGACCACTATTCTTGGCGCTGTAGACCCCGGACTTTGCACACAGCCCCAGGCTCCGCACAGAAATGTGAACCTGGCCTCAGCCAGGGCAGCCCTTCCTAGGCTCTGAGGCTAGAGTGGGGGAGGGAGATGGTGGGAGGAGCCGAGGTGTCCTGTATTCCTGAGTGCAGGGGGAGTCCCTCCTCCTGCCTGTTTACTCAAATGACTATGGAAGCCACCCCAATCCCCCCAGTACTCCCCCCGCCACCACCACTGGGCAGTGAGACAAAGCTCCCTCAAGAGCAGGCATTAGTAGGCCTCCCGTCGGTGCCTGCCCCTGCTAGAGGCCACCTACGTCGACCACCTCAGTGCCTTGGTGGAGTAGACGGGTGCTCTTGGGGTTCTGTGCTTCCTGATCCTATGGTGCCAAACCCTCATCTCCCCTCAGAAGCACAGTGTGACCTCCAGGGATCCTCGGTCACTGCCTCTCCAGGAGTGTTCTCATTCTGGGGTCTCCCCCCCCAGCTCTGACTCCTGACCCACATAGGACTAGCTTGGCTGAGGGGGAAGGGGGTGGGAGAGTAGATGCAAGACATGGGGGAGGGGAGGCTGCCCTGGCAAAGTCAAGGCTTCTGGGGTCCAGGCCTGGGGCCAAGAAGGAAAGTATTTGAGTGCGTGTGTGAGTGTGTGAGTGCGTGTGTGCGCGCGCGCGTGTGTGTATATGTGTCTTCCCTAGGATTACCATACCCTGTGTATGTATGCATGTTTTTGTAAAAAAGAGGAAAAAAAATGGAAAAAAAATCTGAACAATAAATGTTTTATTTGCTTTAAAGGTGCATGTGACAGGGCGGAGGGGTGTGCGGTGGGCACAGCGTGCTGACTCGGTGTGGAGGAGGGACCAGCCCCCTCCAGCGCCTCGCCCTTGTGGCAGCTGCCCTGCAGGAAGAATCCATGCTGAACACACCCTAGCTGCCCCCGCCTGCCCCACCTGGGCTGAGTCCACAGACAGAGGGCCCGCTGAGGGGGGATCTGGTCGCTCAGACCTGGCTCACTAAGGCATCACCAAAGAGTCGTGAATCAGACTTACTGGGTTCCAGGCCCAGCTGGGAGATCAGGTGTGTCGTGTCACCTCTCGGGACTTCTGTTTACCAGTTAAAGGCTCCAGAAATAGACACTGTTTATGGTTCCTGTTCTAACGCACCACAACTTCTTAAGCGTATCCTGAGCCTCAGAGAGAGAATGGGTGAGGCAACAGGCCCGGACAAGCTCACCCAGTGTAAACAGAGACAATGGTGCCAGGGCTGCCAGCGCCTGTCTTACGGTTCTGAGTGGGCCAGGCTTCTCCAGGCAGCAGGAGAGCCTCATTACCTTACACCTGGCCCCAAGCCCTCACAGCCTGTCCAGAGTCCTGGGTGCCAAGGATGCCAGGAGCCGATGCAGAAGAAGTATGAAGGGAAGGGGGTTTATCCCCTTCCCATGTGTCCTGTCCTCCTGGGTGACAGACACTACATCCCATAGGGGTGGCTGAGGCTGTGCCCATGGGCATCCTCACCCTGGCCAGGGTGTGCGGGAGCCAGAGGAGGAGACCCAAACCAGAGGGCTCCCCCATGCCAAGGGGCCAGAGGGAGAGGGTCTCCAGCCCCTGAGACACCACCCCCTCCCCTGCCCACCAGGGCACAATGAGCGCTAAGGAAATGGCTTCATGAGATAACTAGAGACCCAGCACCCCAGCCTTCCCGCCCACTGGTCTCACAACCCCCTCCCCCAAGAAACAACCAGAGGCTGTCTGATACAAACAGTTGCTGTATTCTGCTAAAGTGACGGTGACACAGATAAGGCAAAGAGCTGAGGGGTGGACACAGGTGGGGAAGGGGTAGACCGTGCAAAATGGCAACCTAACAAAAAGACACGTACCAGTAGACCCCCCCCTTCCTGTCGGGTGAGCCCTTGGGCCAGTGTATGGGCAGATACAAGCTCTAGGTGAGGGGCAGTGATGAGGGGCAGGAGTTGGGGGGCATCTCAATGGGGGGTGTTCTGAGTGTGACCAGGGGCAGGCGTGAGAAGGCAGTAGAAATGCCAGGCTGGAGGTGTGCAGACAGGTCTGAGGGGTCCTTCCAGCCCACAATATGCTGCCCCTACTCAAGCTCTTCTGAGGGCAGAGCACCTTCCCCAAGACCCTCAGTCTGGCCTGGTTTGGGGAGTCTTGCTCTGAGGTGTGTGAGGGAGGACTTGGGTGGTGAAGGAGATGAATGGCTAGCACACTCATGGGAGGCCAGGTCTGGGTGGAACAGGGACTTTGAATTCTCAGCCCAAGTCCCCAACCCTTGGGGGAACAACAGGGTGGGATGCTGGGGTTGGGGGTTGAGTCTCTACTAGAGACCCCTTACTTGACCTGACCTTCCCAGGTTTCCACCCTGACCTGAAGGAGAGAGAGTTCCTGGGGCAGCAGGGACTCTGCTCCCTGCCCCCAGGCAGAAGTCAAGGCCTCTTTCTCTTGACAGTTGCACAGGCCCTGTTTACAAAGATTCCTCACTTCGTGCTAAGAAAATAGATCCATCTGAAAAGCTTCCCTCCAGCCAGGCCTATGAGGAACAACAGGGCAGGACCCCTTTCCACCACGCCCAGTCTCCCCCAAAGTGGACGGGACAGCTTCCTGGGAGACCAAAGTCTTCCTGCTGTGTATTTCCTGCCATGGTTCTGGGTTACGCCAGGGATGGGACAGTCCCACCTGATGTCTCAGAAGCTGAGTCCAGGTCCTGAGGACCCCAGGGTGCAGAGGCCACACCCCGTGGGTCAGAAATCGCTGAGGATGCTGATGTCGGCAAAGTCAGCCCGGTAGCGGTGGGCGTAGAGGCTGAGTAGGAAGGCCCACTTGAAGGCAATGAAGCTCCAGACGCAGGACAGGTAGTAGCTGTTGGGGTCTGTGAGGCCTGCAGGGGCAAGGGGCCCGACTGTGACTGGAAGGCCTTGTTCTCTTCCTTAGCCCCCATCCCACAAGCCCGAGGCCACCCCTCCCCAACCTCCGTTAGAGGCTGAACCAATCCTACAGAGACCTTGAGTGTGACGTTTTAGGGTTGCAAGCAGTGGGGATAAGGAAGGGCAGGGCTGGCCAATCACAGGTCTGTATCATCTACTCTGCTTTTGTCACTTTTACCCTAGGCTACTTCCAAGGGGCTTGAGCATCAGATTCTCTAGGGGCAGGGACAAGGGCCCGCCACCAGGGGGCACTCCCATCCCACTACATGGCACTGCAATTAACCAGCAGTGCTCTTGGTGCTCAGCACTTCCCACGCATTTCACGGAACCCTTCCAACCCCAGGGGATGGGTGCTCTCATTCAACCCACTCTAACAATGAGAAAACCCAGACACAGGAGGTTAAGTGATCTGCCCAGTCCCCTGGATGTAAGCCCCCTGCCCCGCCACCCCCAGAACTGGCCCTCACTCTGATGTCCGGTGATGGCCAGCACGAGGAAGGTGCAGAAGGTGGCGATGGAGAGAGCCGAGAAGAGGATGCCCACAAAGAAGAAGCCACGCAGCCCTTTGAGCCAGGTCCTCCAGTAATCCTGCATGTACATCACGTGCGTAACCAGGACCCACAGCGCCAGCACACCTGTGGGACAGACTTGGTCAGAGGGACAGACACTGAAGTCCCCTCTCCTCCTGCCTGCCTCCAGTCAGTGACCCCAGGGCCCCCCAGGGCCCTTTAGGTCCCCTTGGCCAGCCCTATTTGCACAGTACTAAGACAGCGCTGGTCTTTTCAGTCCCATTCTCTCATGACTATGAATGGAGTTTTCTGAAGCTACAGGGCCTGGGATATCATGAGGACCTGATTGCAAAAGCAGATAGGAGAACCTGTCTTCTATTCAGTCACACAGTAAAGAGACTGGCAAAAATATAAAAACATATCATCCTCATTTTTGGGGTTTGTTTTGGAAAACATGACTATTTCCTCATACACACGCAAAATGTTACTTGTATTAATGCAATGTTATTTTTAATATTACTTTAAAATGTTCTTAGTTTTAATTTCTAATATGGTACATATCAACGATGAGAACACACACAAACACAATTTTCTTGGGGTTTCATTACTTTTCAGGAGTGTAAAGGAGTCCTGAAATCATAAAGTTTTTTCCGGCCTGCTTTTCTAGGGACTTCCCACTACCGACCCTAAGGGCCACAGATGTGGGAAGCGGTCCCCTCACCCTGATGCGCCTCCACCCAGCCCACCGGGACCACAGCCTCAAAGTTTCAAGACCATTCTCATGGCCATCCTCCATGTCACTCCCTCCAGTTTGCTGCAAAGGGCAGGCCTGATGCCCCCGGCCTTGCCTGGGCCCACCCTCTGGGCCTGGCTGGTCATTTCCGCTACAATGCCAGCTGCTACTCAGCCAATACAATGAGTGCCTTCTGTGCCAGGCCGCGCCTGCCACGCAGCCCCGAGTGGAACAGATACCAAGTCATTGGTCAGGGTCCAGAGCAGGCCTGCAGGGCCCCCACGAAGAGGAATGAAGAAAGAGAGGGTCCCCACAAAGAGGAGTGAAGAAAGAGACAGAGTCAGCTACAAGGCTGGTGGGTGTGGGCCACACAGGCTGGGGGTCCCAGGAGTCAGGAGACCTGTGCACATGTGCACAGGAAGGATGGACATCTGGCTGGGGAAAGTGGTTGATTATCTGTGGCAAGAAAGAGAAGAAAGGGAAGTTGATAAGGAGCTGGGGGTGGGAAGGGTGCTTTGACTAATTTTTAGGCTGGGTATGAAGTGTAAGAGAGTTTGTTAAATCATCTATCCTCTTTCAGGTGCCCAAAATACTTCATAAAATCTTTTTTTTTTTTTTTTGAGTTAGGAAGAACAAAAGGCAGAGGGGAGCATCATCACAGAGCTATGCTCTGGTTACCAGCTCAGAAGTTGTCACAATTCAGGTTGCCTGGCAAGGGACAAAAACCACGAGACTGCAAGCCAGGAAGCCTGGGGCCTGGCACTGCTGTGCTGCTCGTGACCTCTCAGAGCCTCAGAGTTTCACATCTAAAGACAGTTAAGCCCAAAGGTCCTGCCAGCATGGAAACTTGGCAACTCTAGGGTTCCAACCTAGTGAGGGTGCAGCCCCACCAACCCCCGCAGCTTCCCCCCTCCTCCTGTCTTACCCACACTCTCCCAGCTCTGGCCCTGCCCACCCCAAACTTCCAATGGAACTGGGGGCCTGGAACATGGGTCCCTTCACCCCTGAGATCAGGATGAGCCCGGATAAGCATCTCTCCATCCTGGATGTGGGAGCAGGCCAGATGTGGACTGAGTAGCGACCTCCAGCTTCAGCTCACATCCTATGCGATCTGGACTGTGTGCCAGCCACCCTTCCCAGAGTCTTTCCCTATCTTCTGACATGCATCCTGAGTGTTCGTTTGGGGGAGCCATGTGGTTTCATAAAGGGCCCTAGGAAGGAGGCTTATGGTCACTGAGTGCATTTGAGGCACAGTCAGAATGGCACCTGTCTGGGACAGCCCACTTGCCTCTGCCTCCTTAATATGCCATGGGGTACCTGGAGCAGCTGAGCTATGAGATCCTCTGTCACTCAAAGATTCTGGAAGCCAGCTCAGGAGAAAAATAAGGAGGTTAGAGCAATTCCTCTGTGACTCAACAATTTCTGGGTTAGGAAATGCTGAAGTAGGGGCCCATGGAAATGCCATCTCTTAGTCCATGGGCTATGCTCCAGTGGTGCCCTCAAAACCCCCGCCCCCACATACACCCATGCACCAAAAAGGGCTGAACAGGAGGTAAAGGAAGATGGCTATCTTGGGTGTTCCAGGTCCCAGTTCTTTGTTAATAAGCAGGCACAACCTTCCCCACCTCTCACTTCCCCGGCACACAGACCTCACCTCTAGATAAACCCAAGCCAAGTCTGGAAGCAGGCTCATTCTCACCCACCCTGGCTCCCACCACATTCCAGGAAGCAGGACCTCCCCCACCAACTCCACCCAATGGTGTTCAGTGGAGGAGCCTTCACTGGCCCCCTCAGGCAGGAGGCAACTGTTCCTCAGCCCTGCCCCCTTCCCTAGGATACTGTGGGCTCCAGGAAGCCTGGTCTGCACAATTCAGGACAGAACGGACAGGACCCCAGTCCTACCCAGATGCATGTCCATGCTAGACCCCACCCCTCACCTCACCCCACCTGTTTCTGAGTGCCCCCTGTTCCACTCAGAGCTCACAGCCAACAGGTCAAGGGCATGGAAGGCACAAGTTGATCAGTGAAATTATCCCCAGTGGCTAGAGTGGAGGTTCGGAGACAGGAGGTGCCCAGGGGAGCCCGAAGGGAAATGTAGACAAGCAGACACTGGGCCTGGGCCCTGCTATGTTCTTACACCCCTGCCCTCTACCCCTGCCCTGAGCCCTAGTGCTCCTCTAGCTCAGGCTCCCATGGGAAGAACAGAGACACTTAGACTCCCGGGCAACTTTTCTTTTTTACGTTCCTTGCTGTTAGATGTAGAGCAAGAGTGTGTGTGTGCTTCCCCAGGGTTCCTACAGCAATACGATTTCTTCTGTAACTGCCTTTCCTCTGAGCTTCTTCTTCCCAGGCGCCACCACAATGGAAAAGGGCGGGTTCCTTTCCACTCTTGCCGCTGGTTCCAGGGGCCCCAGACTCGCCCAGGACCCCCAGAAACCAGGACCCTCACTGGCCGCTGCCTGGCACTCAGGGAGAAGGAACACACGAGGGCTGCCCTCTGGTGACTCAGCAGTTTCTGAGCTGCAAAATGCAAAGTCAGAAGTGGGGTGCTCATAAGTCGGTAAATCTGCTGATGTGTCACCCCCAAAAGAGGAAGAAGTCTGACTGGCTACAGACTCTCAGAACCCACACAGCGTGGAGAGGGCACGTGCTAGCCCTGGCCTGGCAAGCCCTCTCTCACCCACCACACCACCACCAGGCAGCTTTGGCTCTTCCACGGCCACCTCCTGGTCATCGAAGGCCGGACTGTCAGGGACGCTCCAGGACCCTGCTCCGGCGGTCGCTGCCCTAGTGCCTCTCTGGCCTGCCTCAGAGGGAAGCCTGCAGCGAGGGACAGAGGGCAGAGTGTGGCTCAGAGGGAAGCCCCAGACTCCTGGAGCATAAGCCAGAGGGCCTGTTTCACTGCCCTCCAACAGGAAGCTGTGTGATAAACGACAGGACACAAAATTGCAACATCCCAGACCTGAAGACAGGGAGTCTCTGCGATCATCTCCTTCCTGGCATCTTCTCTCACTCCTTAGAAGTGAGGAAACTGAGACCCAGGAGGCATCAGTGGGCACAAGGTCACACGGCTGGCTAGGGCTCAGTGCACCAGGCCAGGCCAACACACCAAGCTCTGATATGGATGGCCCTCCCTCCTTACCTTCAACCAGCCCCTCATTTCAGGTCTTATCAGTACAACCACAGGGCCTGGCCCGAAGACTCCACCTTTCTGAGGGAAATCAGCAGGGCTGACAAGAAAACAGCAGGGCTGCCCTAGCCGGCTTGACTCAGCAGTTAGAGCATCAGCCTGGGGACCCAAGGGTCTCAAGTTCAATTCCCAATCAAGGGCACATACCTGGGTTGCAGGTTCAATCCCTGGCCCTGGCTGGGGCCATGTGGGAAGCAACTAATCAATGTGTCTCTCACATTGATGTTTCTTTCTTTCTCCCCTTCCCTCCCTTCCACTCTATCGAGCGAAAGAAAGAAAGAAAGAAAGAAAGAAAGAAAGAAAGAAAGAAAGAAAGAAAGAAAGAAAGAAAGAAAGAAAGAAAGAAAGAAAGAAAGAAAGAAAGAAAGAAAGAAAGAAAGAAAGAGAAATAAAGAAAGAGAGCGAGCCCTGGCCGGTTTGGCTCAGCGGTTGGAGCGTCGGCCTGCGGTACAGAGAGACCCGGGTTCGGTTCCCGCTAAGGGCATGTACCTCGGTTGCAATTTGTCCCCGGCCCTGGTTGGTTGTGCGGGTGGCAGCCACTCGATGTGTCCCTTCACATCGATGTTTCTCTCTCTCTTCCTCTCTCTCCCTCCCGCTCTATCTGAACAAAAAATGGAAAAATGTCCTCGGGTGAGGAAAAAGAGGAGAGGAGAGGGGAGGGGAGGGGAGGGGAGGGGAGGGGAGGGGAGGGGAGGGGGAGGGGAGGGGAGGGGAGGGGAGGGGAGGGGAGGGGAGGGGAGAGGAGAGGAGAGGAGAGTATAGAGACGGCAGACAACAGGAAGAAACTGCAAGGGGAAGAGAACCAGGAGAAACAGGGTAGATGGTGAAGGTGCAGGGGTGGAAGGAGGAGTCAGGGGTCTGTAGATAGGTGAGCAGAGGTGGCCTGGCTGTCTCCAGGTAGAACAGAAAGCCACAGGTGGTAGGGCATCCAGGTAAGCATGACAGCAGCCCAGCCGGGGCACCCACCACTCTTCCTTGGTGACTCCCCAGTGTTCTGCTTGGCACTGCTTAGGCTGTGACTTTGTATGCCCCTCTTATAAGGCAGAACTCTTACCTCCCATTTTTCTCTACCCAGGGATGGTTCTCAGTAAGCTCTGGGGCAATGAGTAAATCTAGTTATTGTCCTTAGTCCAGTTAGGGATCTTTGGGGAGAGGATTTTAGTAACGGAATAAGATCATCATGTGTAAAAGCATTAACCACATATGAATTTTTTCCAAAGTTCTTTTTCCACACATACTATTTCATGTAGTTGTGTAACCCCAGGCAAGCTATTTATGTACTCTAAGCCTCAGTTTAAGCCAGATCTGTAACATGGGCACAATAATAATGCCTACTTCACAGGACTAACATAAGGATTAAATGAGACAATGGAAGCAGACTGCTTAACACAGTGCCTGGCACATAGAAAGCATTAAAAAAAGTTAGCAATGCCCTGGTTGGTTTGGCTTGGTGATTAGAGTGTGGGCCTGTGGACCAAAGAGTCAAGTGTTTGATTCCAGTCAAAGGCGTGTACCTTGGTTGTGGTTCGGGTCCTATCCTGTTCGGGTCCTGCCAGAGGCAACCAGTCGATGTGTCTCTCTCACATCGATTTCTATTTCTCTCTCTCTCTCCCTCCCTCCCACTCTATCTGAAGATAAATGGAAAAAATCCCCGGGTGAGGATTTTAAAAATAGATAGCAAGTAGAAATAATATGTTTCATCTTCATACCAATTCTCTAACACAGAGAGGTTAATGGCACGCCCAAAGGTTGCACAGCGAGGAGCACTGGTGAGCACCAGCTTCCACCAGCGCACTGACGTTCTCACTCTTGTCCTTGCCTCCCCTTCCCTTCTTGAGGCACAGAAAGGGTGGCCAGGGTGGGTTAGCAGATATTGGCGGAGGACCCACAGCACAAGGGTGGCAAAGAGTCACCAACCTGGCGAAACAAAATGTCCAGTTTCCATCAGATCCCTAGCGCGCTCCTCCAGGTCTCCACTAAGGACTCTGCAGAGGTGGGGTCCACACTAGAAGGTGGCAGGTGGGCTTCAGCCCTCCTTTCCACTAACCTCTTCTCTGCCCTCACCCAGCCCCCAAGGAAGAGACGCTCGAGGGGCGGGACCCCCCAGAACAGGTGTGTGTGTTTGGAGGGTCCTCACACTTAGCCCAGTGACAGCTCTGCGAAGGAGGCGGAGAGCGAAGCGGGTGAGCAGGGAGGAGGCTGTCACGGGGCGGGGGGCGGCGGGCGGAGGCGTCGCGAGCTGAGCCGGCGGCGGTGGCCCGACGTTCTATGCCAACCCCAGGGGCGGGACGTCGCAACCGGGTCGCGCGGGGCTCGGAGAACGCTCGGGCGCCAAAGGCCTGCGCTGCTAACGGATATTTTCGGGTAAACACCCCACCCGCTCCCCCCGGGAAGTGCCGCCCGCGAGGAGCCCTGGGAGCAGAGCGCCTCCCGGCGCCCCCGCAACCGGCCCCAGCGCCCCGCACCCCGGGTACCTGCGAGTCCCCCCATAGCCGCTGTCCCCGGCTGGCTGTAGACCACCGTCCAGACGAGGAAGATGGAGAAGCCGGCCACGGAGCTGAGGCCGGAGTAGGCGGCGCGGAGGCCGAGCTGCCGGCGAGACGGGGCCATGGACTGCGGGCGCCGGGCGCGAGGGCGAGCGCAGCGGAGTCACAGGTGCAGGGCCCGGCGCCGGAGCCGAGCCGGGAGCCGCCGGCCGCCCGCGCTCCGCCCAGGCCCGCCCCCCGCGCTGCCGGCACAGCGCCCTCCCCGGCCGGAGGCCGCCCGCGCCCGGAGCCGCAGACCGCGCCCGCCCGAGTTGGCAGCGTGCGGTTGCTGGGCTTTCTGATCATCAGGGGGCACCTTAAATGGCCGGTCCGGGGCTTAGCCTCAGACCTGCCCTGTCTGGATATTTGGGCATTGGTGGGGCCCGGCGATGCGAGTTTATGGAAGCTAGCTGCGGTGGCTGCTTTTAAAACGTGATCTCTGACTAGGAGGCGCATTCTCATTAAAATTTGAGATGTAAATGTCTCGTGAAAAATTAAAACATGACTCCTTCCACCCTGCCCCTATCAGCCAGGTTCCTTCCCAGACTGTTTAAGCACCCTCAGAAGGTACTTCATACACTGAAGTGTGAGAACCCCACCACCATCACCGTCTAAATACCCAACCCTCAGTGACAGCTCCCTTCCCGGCCTTCGCCACAAGCCCCATCCCCCTACCCCAAATCCCTACCAAGCATCACCTCCACCCTCAGAATCACACAATTCAGAGACTGGAAACTATAGCAGGAATATATTGAGCTCCCACCGTAGGTCCAGTTTCCTACCACCGGGAGCTGGGGGGAAAACCCGACCTAACACAGAGCCCTGGAAACACTTAGAATCTGGCTGGGGAGGCCTATCACATACCTGCACAGAACAAGTCGTATCTCTTGCGTTCATTTCTTTTTGCAAATTACCACAAATGTAATGGCTTAAAATAACACACAAAAATGGGTCTTACTGAGCTAATACGAAAGGGATGGCAGCACTGCCCTCCCGGAGGTGCAGGAGGAAAATCGGCTTCCTCGCCTTTTCCCGCTGTTAGACCCACCACATTCCTTCATCTTCAAACAAATCCTTTGCTCTGACCCTGCCTCTGTTGTCACCTCTCCTTCTTTCCCTCCCTCTTTTCCCTTATAAGGACTCTGGTGATTAAGAATCTGGGTAATCCAAAATAATTTTCGCACATCAAAATCCTTAATTTAATCACATCCGCAAAATCTTTTGCCATGTAAAGTAATATACTAATACATCCTGGGGATTAGGATTTGGTCATCTGGGGGGGGGTGTGTGTCATTTTTCTGACCACCCTTCTGAAACTAAACTCCGTGAGCAGGGACTATACCACTTTCGTTCACACCAACATTTAGATGAGTGCCTGGCACATAATAGCCCCTTAATAAATATTTGTGGAATAAATGAATGAGGGTGAATAAAGGTAAGAATTAAATAACAACCATGCACATGAAATCTAGACAGGGCATGATTGATTAATGGCCAAACAAGGACGTAAACCAGTGTAAATAAACCCTATTTGCCTCATTTCAGAATAGTCTGGGAGCTTCTCAAAAAAGAAAAAGATTCCCTGACAGTTTGGCTCAGTGGTTGGAGTGTCAGCTCTCAGACCAAAGAGTTGCAGGTTCGATTCCAGTCAAGGGCACGTACCTGGGTTTCGGTTCGGTTCCTGGCCCTAGTCACAGCCCTCCTCTGGAGCCGCTGGTGGAGAGAGTTAGAGCTTGCCTAGAGCTTGCTAGGTCAGAGAAGGGCAGGAGCCCCAAGGTCCAGAGTGCACTGCCCTGGAGGGCCTTAGAGCTGGCTGGCTGGGATAACACTCCACGCAGTGGGAACAGGGTGCATACAGACAGCACCGAGGGAAGAAATAACAGGTGGGGTGGGGAATCTGTGAGTAGGTTGTGGTCTGTGGGTGGAATGGTGGGTTTTGAAGTTAGAAATGTTATGAACATAGAGGGCTTTGAATATCCTGCTGAGAAGGCTGCCCTCTCCCTGTGGAGCCAGGGGAGGGAAGAAATTAACAGTTCTATGTTCTAGAAATGTGGCCAGAGTCAAAGTGTGAGGGTGACATGCCTATACAAGACTACAAAGCAGAGAGACAAGTCCTTTACCTCCCTGTGCTTTAGTTTCCCTGCCTATAAAGCGGAGACAGCAGTGATATCTACTTCAAGTGTTGTGATGAGGACTTGGTGCTTAGAAGAGTGCCTAGCACATAGTAGGCCCTCAGTAAATACCCTCAAGTATGATTAGTAGCGGCACAACAGCTGCCATGGCAAGAGATGCTGTGGGGAGTCTGAGAGGTGGGTTAGGTCCAGGCAGTGAGAACGGAACCACGGGAGCTGATTCAGGAGATACTTAAGCTAGTTGAACCCTAAAGGTCAGGTAGGAATTAATTAGCTGGGCAGACAGAGGAGAGCAAAAATATTTTGAGTGGACATATTTGGAGTATTGGAGAGTAGGGAACAAACCTGTTAGGCTGGAGCATGAGATTGTGCAAGAAAATAATGAGGAAATAATTCTGTAACAGTAGCTTCGGCCCAGGTTGTAAAAGAAGGTTAAGGGCAGGATGAAACTTTTTCTTAATTGTGGAAACTTTTTCTTAACTGTTGAAGGACTTCATACTCAGATAGGGTTACCACTTAATCTGTGACCCTGGGCCCCTAATTCAATACAACTTTCTGCCAAGAAAAAATTTTCTATATCTGCACTCTCCAAAATGGTTGTACTCACAGGTAGCTATTATGTATTCGATATGGGACTCGCTGAATTTTTAACTGTTTTAAATTTAAATTTAAATAACCACACATGGCTAGTGGCTGTAGTGGCTATCATATTGTTGATATGTGGCTAGTGGCTTAGTGGCTATCATACTGTTGATATGTGGCTAGTGGCTGTAGTGGCTATCATACTGTTGCTCCATCTATACAATGAGAACGATGGTGTGCCTCACAGGTTTGCTATAATGCTTCAAGTCTATTGAAATTCTGCAGTGAAAGCACTCACCACAGTAACGGAGTATATTTTTATTGCTGTTGTTGAAATTATTGCTATTGTTATTGTTATTATTAAACAGGAGTAGCATGACATAAGCCATGTCTTGGAAAAATTATTTAGGCTGTGGTATCCAGGTGAGATTGGATGTGAAAGAAAATTGTAGAAGAGAGAGCATTGACAGGCTAGTTCAGTGGTCAGGTGTGAGTTGATTGAGATTTTACCTGGAGAAAGCCCAGGATTATGGAGCTACGACACACAGGTGTGCACCACACCTACACTCCTTCCCACATCAGCTTCTGTACTCTCAGAAAGCACGCTCCCCTCCCAACCCAAGACAGATCCCACTGCCTGCCCCACCCCCAAGACAGCCATGCTCCCTGCCTGCAGCAGAGATTACTAATGCCCACCGTTAGCAGCTCTTCTCCTGGCGCATGACCTACTAAATTTGAACTTGGAACACTTTCCAGATTCCCTGCAGTTAAATTGATGCCATGGGATAGAGTTCTGAGCAATGGAATCAAAACAGAAGCAGTGTGTGCCATTACTAAGCTGGACTCATAAAAATCTCCCATGTATCCCCCATTCCTTCTCCCTAGTCTGTGATGATTTTAGAGTCCACATGTTGAAGACAGCTGCGTCAAATAATGGAGAGAGCCTAGGACCCTTGAATGAATGAATGGAACAGAACCACTCCTTGCATCAGCCCCTTGTTAGACCAACATGAGTGAGAAATGCACCTTTGTTGGGCTAAGCCATTGAGATTTCAGAGATGTTTGTTACAGCTCACTGTGTTATCCCAACACACCATCCTCATTCCATTTCAGGTCACATAAACATATCCTCTATGGCTAACCTGTCTGGACTATCAGTCCCTCTGAAGTCAGTTAATTGGGCCCTGCCAATATTAAGACAGATTCCTGACTCCCACCTGCAGGGATCTTGCCTCCTAAGACATTTCTTCCTCACTCCTCCAAAGCAGGCACATTCCAGACAGATGTCTTCCTCCGCAAGGCTACGTCAAGGTTACCTCCACTAAGTTATGTTCCAGCTGATAAGGCTTGTCAGGGCTTCCTCCTCTCTGCTCCTTAATCCCCGCCCAGCAGAATCTGGGGCATGTCCTTGTTTTTCTATGGCTCCAGCCCCAAACCTAGGTGTCATTACTGAGTCCCCCCTTTCCTTCACCCCCTACATCCAATTCATTAGCAAGTACAGTGGCTCTGTTCTTCCTTTCCGTCCCCCCGCCACACCCTAATCCGGCCACCATCATCGCCTTCAGTGCCCCCTGCAACAGCCTCCAGACTGGTCTTCCTCTGCTCACTCTTCCCCTGCATCCAGTGTCCACCCAGCAGCTGGAGTGGTCTTTAAAAATCACAACCAGAACATGGCACTCCCCCACCGCAGCAGCTCCCCACCGCTCTTAGGGTGAACTGATGAAGGCCTCGCAACTCCAGCCAGGTCCAGCCCTGCTCATTTCCCTCTGGCACACTGGCTTCCTTTCTGTCTCTCGAATGTGCCAAGTTTGTTCCTGCCTCGAGGTCTTTGTACTTTGTGCCTGAATGCTCTCCTCTGAGTGCTCCTAATATGAATCCCTCATCACTCTAGTCTTGGCTCAAATGTTACCTCCTCAGAGAGGCAATCCGTTCCTATTTAAAGTACAACCCTTCACCTGATTTATTTCCCATAGCACTTACACTATGTGAAATTATCTTATGTATTTGTTTATTCTTTCCACCCACGCCCCTGCCACCCAGCCGGAATATAACCTCCATGAGGGCAGGGGCCTTATCTGTTAGGGACCAACTTCTCTGGGTTTGTCTAGGACTGTCCTGATTTTACCACAAAAAGACCACATCCCAGAAAACCCCTCAGTCTAGGGCAAACTGTGGCGGTTAGTAATCCTATTTCCTGCCTTGATCACTTCTGCATTCCCAGCACTTAGTCTAACACCAGGTGCAGAGGTAGAACTCAATAAATATTTGTGCAATGAATAAAGGAGAGAAGGACTGGCTTTCCATAAAAATTCTGTGATTCTGGCTCTAGGGGGCAGCCTTCCCCAACCTTGTGTCCTGAGACCCAGCTTTGCAAAGTTGAGCTAAAATATCCTGTGCATAAATTTAGGTG